AAAAAAAGAAAACTACTCAGAATAAACAAAAAAGAAGTATATAGAAAGTTTTATTAGGGTTGTAGGACTCCACTATTGAAAAGTATCCAAATCTCTTTTTGTTTTAAAGAAGTTAGCTGGTGATAACCTATCTTTAAGAAGTCGTTATTATGCTAACTTCTCTAAAACAAAAAGGGATTTAGATACTTTTTATTAGTAGAGTTCTACAACCCTAATAAAACTTTCTATATACTTCTTTTTTGTTTATTCTGAGCAGTTTTCTTTTTTTAAAAAAGTACTTTAAATTGTATAAATAATGTAAAATTAATTTGATTTAAACAGCCAATCATACGAAAGTCTTCCTATGAACAGGAGGAACCGTTGATGTTACACAACAGATTTTACACACGGTGTGAAACACATAAAAAAAATATTTTACAATACTTGATCGGACTTGATCAGTCAGCTAGTACATGTTACGATAATCCAAAATCATTTTTTTATAGTAAAAAATGGGTTGGATTATAATCATGGCATGTACTAGCTGACTGATCAAGTCCGATCAAGAATTGTAAAATAATTTTTTTATGTGTTTCACACCGTGTGTAAAATCTGTTGTGTAATATCAACGGTTGCTCCTGTTCTTCCTATGAGGATGTGCCGTATTAAACTTCAGTCATAACTAGAACTTGACAATTATGTAAGAATATGAATTTTGCCAATTTACCCAATATAGACATGGTGTAAAGAATAATGTAGCATGTGCAGCAACTTACGTAATATGTTGTAATTCTTGTTGTGAACTATAATTTATGTAGTAACTAGTGCGTACGTACCCGGTATGTATGTATGTACGTACGTACAGTACATACAAGATTTTCTTTACTATTATATGTTTGCTTGAAAACAGAAACATCTTCCTAGATCAGATTATCAGTAAAACTACTTTTTGAGATGATAGAAATACGTAGAATTTTGAGTAACAGGAATTTTGTGAATAAATTGTTGAGAAGAATTGATCCACATAAAAAAAGCTATGACATAGATTAATTAGTTACGGCTAATTACGAAATTGAATGATACTGATTTTCCTAACTGTAAATATAACTTGTTGTATGTCATGATTCTTTGGTCTATAACGTTTGTCAAGCATATTCCGTTTTATGACCATAGCAAATATGTCATATAACGAAACTTTTAAGCCAGATTTTCTTGGTATCGATACAATGCAGCATTAATGATTGTAATATTTAATAGGACTAAGCTCTGCTGTACTGTACATACGTACGTATGCGATATATATTTTTTTAAGAGCTTCGGAAAATTCCGGGACGGACAAGTTATGAGTGGTAACACACTTACGTACTGCAAACGAAAAAAAATCCAACTTACTATAAATGGCACAACCTTTAAGCACGCCACACTACCTAATAATTTGATTAATTAACTATGGTCGTATGCACAAGCTAGTATATTGGTGATCATCATATTTCCAGTAAACAATAAATAATAATAATAATAATAATAATAATGTTTAATTTTCAATCTCTTTTTCTTTATTTTTTTATTGAAAACTCAAAATCTGAAAACATTTTTTAATAGCAAAACAAGAAAAAATAAATGGTGCAATTACAATACGACAATGTTGTGTGTTCAGAGATTGCAGGATTTATATCTATAGCATGTTGGATGGTGGTCGGATTTCCGTAAGTAGAAATATTGTCGAAATTGAAAGAAATTTATAAATGATTTTTTTGTATTTTTTATTTTTTTGAATCAGACAACTTTATGAAAACTATAAGCGAAAGTCGGGTGATTCAGTAGCACTATCTTTCATTATCATATGGCTACTTGGTGACTTATTTAATTTGACCGGCGCTATTTTACAAAATTTAATATTTACAGTGGTGAGCCTTGTTATATATTGGTGAATTATACAAAATCTCATCAAATGGTTTGATGAATAATAAATTCATTTGTATTAATGTGAATCACTATTATTATAGATTCTTATTGCACTATATCATACCGGAATCGATGTTGCAATCGTACTACAAATTTTTTATTATCGTCTCCGTAAAAATAGAAATCCTGACTGGGATGAAGAAGTAACTCTTTTACAACCACAACCAGCGCGCAACGAATCACGAACTTCCGTATATCGATCAAGGGTCAGAGAATTTTTTGAAATTTTTGCAGGGCTCGTTGGAGTTTGCGTGGGTGGCATTATTATGTATTATATCTCTACGCTATTTCGGGATAACGAAGGGAGTGAAAAGGACGATCAATTGGAATTGGAATTGCTACCTCAAATTTTTGGATGGGGTAGCGCTATTCTTTATCGTAAGTTAAATTGTAGATATGAAAATTATATTTGTACTTTATGTCTAATTTATATTGTGTAATTGGCATTAATATTAGTTAGCGCAAGAATTCCTCAAATTATTCGAAATCATAAGTCACAATCTACTGAAGGATTATCACTGGCCATGTTCTGTTTTTCTGTTTTGGGTAACGTTACATTTTGTGCGGTATGTATTTAAGGTAACAATTTTTAGGATGATTTGAGATATTTGTAATTAACGAATTCATATCTGATATATATATATATTTACATTACAGTCAATATTCCTCTATTCGACAAAATCTAAGTATTTACTTGTAAACCTTCCTTGGTTGATAGGAAATGGTGCAACATTACTATTTGATTTTACGGTAAGCTTTAAGCTTTCATATACGTTTTAAAATTTAATAGTTATAGTATCCGTAAATTTTTAATCTATGTATATAATTTTTTTTTTCAAAAAAAGATTTTAGCTCAGTTCTATTTTTACAGAAACAATTATAAGTCCCAAGCTTAAATAGATCTTTTTGTTTGTAATCCTAGTTTATTACTACAATGTATCAATCTAAAATATATATTATGAATAAAAAATCTTTATTTCGTTGTGATGTGTCAATGTATTAAGTGTTAAATGTTTACAATACTCATGAACTCAATTATCACGAATAAAATAAATATTTGAACAATTGGATCGAGAGTCTGTGAAATACATACAACATAGCCACTTTATATTTTTATATTGTTTATTTATCAAATAAATGGGAAATACATGAAAATCACAGGTTTCGTGAGACTCAAAAAAAAATAAAAATAAAAATAAAATTATGCAGATCGTCGATCCAACTAAATCGAAAAGAACGATAACAATAAAATACCTAGATTAATAAATATATGTTTTGTAATCACAAGCTAAATGAAATTAAAGTAAAAAAAAACTATTTTTATTGACTTAAAACAAGCAATATTATTTTATTTCGAGTTGACGTGCATACAGGCGTATGCATGGTCAACGGATCGAAAAGTCAGCTAAGCAGGGGTAGACATTGCAGGGCCGGGTCAGTTACGGGATGAAAGGTATGGGGAGGAAGCATGTGAAAGTCGGTGCCAAGGCACGGGATTCAGGGGAGAATCTGAATGAAGGTAAGCATGATGCAAAATGACCTTCCGCAAACAGCAAGTACCAACAAACCCGGTCAAGTTTAGAACAGGTAGGCCACAAGGTAAAATGAATTGGATACGGCTTCTGCATCAAGAACTGCCATTTCCGCTGCGAGAAGTAAGCCATTTCGCAACCCGGTCCCTCCCCCCTGACATTTTCATAATAATTTCTAAGTTCGGTTATTTACAATTTCACACTGACGGCCGACCTGCATTATGCAGGCGGGAAACCACCGGCCAATGTTGTACATCTCAAACGTTAACTGCTTACGGTGATTCCCGGCGCAATTTCGGTTGCTATTTCCGGGAGTTTATCCGTTTCAGTGTCAACTATGCTTAAATCATAACTGCACTCGCAGGTTAATAAATGCTTGTCTCCGGTACTTCAGACCGGTTCATCCAAACTAGTCTATGCGTGCAATGCTTTTCGGTGTAAATACTGCATGCTTAAGCTTTAAAAAATATATTTGGTTTATAATGCATGTTGACAAGGGTCAATGATCAAAAGACACCACATGCTCCAACCCTGCTCAGATTACAAGTGACCAGGATCGATCTGAGAAGTTAAATCACAAGTTTATGCAACATAATTGAAAAGCCACCGAATGACTGATATAAGGGATCGTGGAGAATAGCTAATTTCTGCATTCTTTCCTTCACAAAAATCCCAATCCATTTAAATTGCATTTTTCCCAGTACTTCTCGCCCACACTGTAGCCTCCTTATTCTGTCATTTTCTATTTAACAACCGGCCTACTTTGAGCAGGTAAGAAACAACCGGTTGACGCTGTTTTCGTTCGCTCTATTATTATAATGATACCTGACGTGATCTCATTTGCTCATCTTCCGGGAGCATATCATCGTTTCAGTTCAAATACTGATTACTTAATTACGCGAAATTGTCACTAAAACCATGAATGGGAATAACTTTGTGCTGTTATATTGATATTACTTGGTTTCTGATTTATGAGTAGAAAATTATTTTAGATACGTAACAAATTTTTTCACAATAAATAAATGTGATTCCAATTTTGTATACAAATAACTGATATTCGATTTTTAGTAATTTACGATTTATCTTATTTATAATGTAATAAAGTGATAAAATACGTTGATGCCCGATCATCAAAATTAAAATCAAGCAAAATTTCAAGCCTGAAGATAATCTAATACGTAACATAAAAATTTAAAAGAATGTCAAAGTTCATATTTATGCCAATAAAAATTTCATTGGGTTACAGATATACTGTACATATAAAATTCTATATATTCAAGTTTGTCCAATAAATTTTATATGTTCAAATTTATTCATTCCATTGCAAACACTGATCGAGGCATTACAATAAGAGATGATATAGGACGATATTTAAAAATTCTACTATATCAAGTTTACAGCATTTTTGACAATTATTCAATTTCATTATTTTATTAATCAGTTATGTATTTAATATAAGCTCCATTAATTTTCATCAAATATAACAACTTTCTGTCAGCTTCCTCAGGTTTGGAAAAGATTAATTTCATCAAGTATGTCACTTTTTTTTTAGTTTCGTACATATTTAAATAGAAAGTAACTGTTAATAGGCATATCAGCTATGGCATTACAGCACATTATACAATACGGTAATATATTTAGTGTAAACCATTTTATGACTCGAAATTTTATGTGTAATTATGACATGCGCTATATTGTCAAGGGGTTAGTAAGTGCTCAATGCACTTAGTATCTCTCTCAACCAACGGTTTTATGGTTTTAATGCAATCACTTTAATTCTAACCTCGTTCTTCAAACACCTGTCTCTATCTTAATAGGCAACCTTCTCTACTTTATAAAAAATCGAACCTCTTATTTTATTTTCACGTGCGATTACATCATCAATCCATTACATAAATTATACTATTGGGGTAATTATTTTTGAATCTAGACCAAAATGTTATTACATCATACATAAAATTAGTCCGAATTTCAAAATAATTCTAAAAGACTTAACATTCACAATTTTATTGCTTATTCAGTACGTATCCCACCACTTTCGGTTAGTCCTATACATCACGTGGAACCAATCATATTTTGATAAGTATGTAAATAATTTATCAATATGCTACGCATATGTACTGTATTATCGGGTATTTGACAATTTAAAGGTAAAAATATGGCCAGCCATAACTCATGAACATCAGGAAATTTTTAAATTGGTTTGCAATCGATTGACAGAAAGAAATGTCAATCGATAAGCAGCACTCCTGTTGATTACCAGCGATACTGATTAGAATCGATTGACAACAAGGCTGCTAATTAAAATCGATTAGAATCGCTTTGATTGAAATCGATTGATATCAAAACTAAATTAAAATCGATTATTTTTTAATCGATTGTGTATCGATTAGCTACAATATCGATTATTGTCGATTTTCCTAATCAATGGCAATCGCCTCTGCAGCTGGTAATCGATATCTACCATATTTAAAAATTTCCTGATGAAGCTTTATTTGTATGTAATATAACTGCATAAATATTTTCTTTAAAATATTCAATCCATAACAATAATGTAATTTTCAGAACGTAAATTAACGATATGTATATGTTATGCATCGTTTTTCAAATTATGTCGGTCATTAATTGACGCCGGTCATTTTTCAAGTTCCACTGATTGATGGATAACTTAGGTCATTCTTAATGCAATCATATTATAATCAACGATAGCTTATTATATTAAATTGATATTAACGGTAGCTTATTAACGATAACTTATTAAATTGATATCAACGATAATAGATATTAAAATTGATAGCTTATTAAATTGATATCAATAATGATAAATAAATAAATTTTTAAAAATTGATTCTTTCAAGTAATTCTTTATTTTAGTGTATTTTTTTTCTTTCAATTTCTAATGGATCCCAAAAATTATTCATTTCTGACCCATGAAACCTATGACTGAATATTTGAAACATTCACAAATCAAAGAAAAAACAAACGAAACTTGATGGATAGTGAACGATACAATGAATATCTTAATATATTAAAAAATCTATATATTCAGTATAATCCGGCATTTAAATATTGGACTACTAATATCTTTAAAGTTCATCATATTGGTACTACAGAAGAGCTTCACATACTTAAACAAGATCAAGATAATTTGGGAATTCAAGTGTGCACAGATAAAAATTTTTATGAAGTAATTTGTGCCACTCATCAAGCAACCGAACATGGAGGTCAAGAGAAGGCCTGGCAAGAGGTATAAAAAAAAAAGAAAAAATATATATATATAAATGAAAATAATTTTTTATTTAATCATAAATAGATTTGTGTTCAGTATTGCTATATTTTTCAGCAGTTAGTAGAAAATTCTGTCAAGGAATATAATGTATATGTTACTTGAAGGGCTTCAAAAAGAATCCTACCAATGCGTCCAATTATTTCTGAAGGCTTTCTGAACCACGTTCAGGCAAGTGGATCTTTTTTTTTTTAAAAAAAAAAAGCAATTAATTTATATGTTATAGTTTGATACTATTAATATGATGGAAATTCCTGATTAAGAATACAAGTATATATTCCATATCAGGGATCATTTTACATGTTTTTGATATGCTGAACCAGACAGTCCAAATCAGCAGAAGAAGTTGCAATGACTTTACTTAACTTTTGCTTTATTTATAGTCCCTGGCAATTCTTCATATGGACAATAGAGAAGTGTTTGTTGGGAATAATTTTAAAGATATGCTAAGTTTCTGGCCAATGATTAAAATGGTTCATGGATAGCCAAGATATCCACAATATCAAGAAATGGTGAAAAAAGGGAATGACATATTGCAAATGAAGTTAGATACATGGATAGATAAAACAGGTAGATCAGATTGGAGTACTGGCCTTAAATCTGTGATATGTAAGTTTTGTTTTTATATTTGGCAAAATATATTATAAATGTTATTTTAGTAATTACAATTTAATTATGCAGGGGCTATAAATAACCAGTATTGCTCAGCTTACAAAACAATACCTTACAATTTGGTGTTCAGTTAATTGCCCCATAATAATCATAATACAGCAGTAATTTTGCAAGAAAATGGAATAACGATCATGATAATGAAGAATTAAAGCATCCAAATCCAGAAATTAATAATAGTTCTGATTTGGAAGGATCCAAATCAAATAGCTCTAATTTAAATAGTTTAGATTCAGAATATTTTATATGTAATTCAAATACTGGTAATGATCAGAATAGTCTTAATTCAGAAGGTTCAGAAATAACAATTGCAAATAACTGTGATAATTATAATTATTACGATTCTGATTACAATAATTATGATCTTGATAACAAAAATTATGATCGCAATAATTATGCCTTCGAAGATAATTACAATAACAACAATTATGATCATAACAATTATGATCATGACAATTATGATCACAACAATTACGATCATGACAATTATGATTACAACAATCAAGATCACAACAATTATAATTACAATAGTTATAATAATTATAGTAATGATAATAATAATTTACCTAGAAGTTCACAATTACAAGCTTGAGAAATTATTAAAATTAGTGATACAGAGTCAAATGAACCTTATACCTACCAATAAAAAGAAAAATGGCAAGAGCAAGTTGTTGAATCTAAGGAAATAATTAATGTAAATATATTATTTTTTTTATAATCAAATATATAATTTTTGTCAAACGCAAAATTTTTTTTTTTTAAGCCATGAATGCCATTGCAAAACATTACAAATTCAACTCATCCAATACATCAAAGTTATCATAAAACTTTATGTCAAGTGGCAATATTAAATATTATGAATTGGATATGTAATATTTTGTTTGGCACCTGCCTGTCTCAATGAAAGTATATTATTTAAAGG